ATCCTCCTGCCTCAGTCTCCTGAATGCTGAGTTTACGCACATGTGCCACCATACCTGCCTAACATTAATTCCTGTACCTTTAGTGAAAATAAAAATGAAAGAGAAAAATCCCTCAAAATGTCCATTGGAGGAAATTTCCTTTGGGGAGATTTTCCCTGGAGTTCTCTTATCCGTTCCTAACCCCTTGGTGGCTTCCTAGCTGTGCCCTTTGCTGTCATTGCCCCGTCGTTCATGGCACGAGCAAGGGGCCCTGTGACGGGGGTGCAGACGATCCTGGGACCCGTGAGGGCTGCGCTGTGGCTGCTGTGACCAGCACCGCAGCAGCCAACAGAACGCCGGCAATCCACGTTTCCAGGGTTACCTTCTTGCTGCTGATAACAGGCAGGAAATTAAAACAATCTGTGATAGGGTTTGGTTCTTATGATCCACAGATGGTCGCTTGCAGATCCTTTGGAGCAAAACAGAAGTAAATACGGCCAGGAAACTTCATTATTGAAGAAAAATGATTCGGCTAGGTCAAGTTTACAGCCTGTATTCATTTCAGTGAGACAAACCACAGATCGTGTCTTAGTGTCCCACGACTCACAGGGCACTAAGCCCTGTGACGGCGAATGTTCTTTTTTTTTCTTTTCAGTTTAATTTTGAGTATGTAAACATTACGTATTCAAAGTCAAATGCTAAATTATATTCACGGATGTCTTATTTCCATCAGTCTCTTCTCTGTTAGTCCTTTATAGAGTGTCATTTGTATTAGCTTTTGATTGATCCTTCCAGTGTTTCTGCAGATAAAAATTTTTTCTGCTGCTTTTCTTCACAAAAGAATCACATTTGGTACTACAATTTTAAAGACATTTTTAAAGGTTGGCTCTTTCAGGGTCTGACGAGCATTCGGTGGCATTCATGAGCCCTACCTGCACCACGTGAGATTTGGTAGATGTGAGCCATCGTGCAGCTGGCACGTAGTGGAGACGGATGCCTTTTCTGTCACCTAACAAAGTTTCTTGGGTCAGGGATTTAGCTCAGTAGCACAAGCGCTTGTCTGGTAAGTGCAAGGTGATGAGTTCAATCGCTGGTGCCAAAAAAAACACATTTCTTGCCTCTCCTTCCTCTTTCACTGTTCTCTGGCCCCTGATAAACCACCTGCACACTGTCATTATAGTGTTCTCTTCCCTAGAACCTCACACTAGGTGCAGTCGCTAGGGAATTTCATCCTGCACCCATAACAGACCACACACGAGCCAAGACGGTGACGGTGTTACCAGGAGACACAGTGCTAGGGGACCCGCTGGCGTCTCTGCAGCCTGTCTTTCCACGCCTGCTGTGGTTTCCCTCACTGAGAATGGCGCGTGGGACCTGCAGTTGGGTTCTCATGTGTGATTCACGCTGTTTTAATCACGGAGAAGCAAGCACCACATTGTGCCGCCTTCCGCTGAGGGACACTGTCCATTTTGTATTTTTATTTTGAGAGCCTGTCCAGAGGTTCTATCAGGGGAGCACAGCTTTTGTCCTCTCTGATCAAATGTGCAGCTTCGGGAGAGAGGCTTGGGGGTGCCCACCAGCGAGCCAGAGCAGCCGAATCAACCCCAGCCAACGGTGGGGTGATGGATGTCACAGCCGCACCACCCTCACATTCTGTGTTTTTATTTTGAAATAATTTTAAACCTGAAACATAACTACAAGAGCACCGCAGCTGTCCGATGCAGTACCTTTCCGAGGGTCCTCCTAACACCTCCTATAGACGTGGTTACAATCATTGAGGTTTAGCAGTTAATACTGGTGCCGTAGCATGAGCTGCCGTATTCGTTTAGATTGGATTCTTCCATTGCATTTAGTTTTATTTACTGTATCGTCTTCAGTCTGATGGTTCCTCAGTATTTCCAAGTCTTTTATCCTCTTGATCCTTTTATGGTTTGTTTTGTTTTGGCTTGGTTGCACTGGGTGTGAGCCTAGAGACTTCACATTAAGTGATATCTCAGCCCTTTTTAAATTTTGAGACAGGTTCTTGCTACATTTCCCTGGCTAGGCTTGACTTTGTGATCCTCCTGCTTCAGCCTCCCACAGCGCTGGGATTACAGGTGTGTGCCACCACATCCGGCTTCTTGGTGCTTTTGAAACAGTACTTATTGAGGTCTTTTGTAGAACTTCCCTCCCACGGTGCCCTGTGAGGCTGGCATTTCACTCCTCTGCTCATTCCACAGCCAGGATGGTCGAGGCACAGAAGGTCTTGCCTGGGGTCCCAGAGCTGGTAAATGACAGTATTTCTGCTTGAGAGATGGCACATGGCATGTGGCTGTCACCAGAGCTTAGAACGGATTCTATTTTTTCCTTTCTTGCCGTGGAAAATGACGTCTGACGGCACTCTTGTTCTTCAGGAAATTTCTATTTGTTGTTACTTCCAGGACTGTTTCTCATGTGATTGAAGACTTTTAGTCCCTTTGATAGGAAGTGACATTACATTAACATCTTGGAGGAATCTAGGAACTCGTGGCCAAAGGAGGACCTGTGTTTGGACCTCTTGAAAAGATGATGGAAGTTTGGGGCAGAATATTCAGAACAGAAAATCCTTTTGGAGAAGGAGTGGCAGGGAGCTTTTCCCTCCCTGGGTTTTACCAGTGAGCCCACAGGGATCAGTTCCATCGCCTGCGTTGGGTTCACACTGCACACACCCACTTTCCCTGGTCGCAGTCACGTGTGTCTGGGACCGGCCTGGGACCGGCCTGACTCAGGTGGTGGCTGCTCTTCATGGTGGCTCAGGGTCCAAAAGCCCTGATTCTGGGGCACTGAGGTGCTGTAGGTCAGGGCTGTTGGGTGGATGTCTGCGTGTCACACAGTGACTCATGCAGCCTGCTTCCCAAATCATCTCTTCTTTTCTGTCCACTCACACTGTAGGTTCCGGGTGTCCATCAAACTTGTGATCAACAGCAAGGTGTCTTGAGGTATTCGGTCTGTCTTAGTTACTTTTCACTTGTCACTGAGACAAAATACCTGACACCCAAAGTTGGGAAAGAAAAGGTTTATTTCTTACAGTTCTTGAGGGTTTCAGTATGTACTCAGCTGACTCCAAGGCAGTGTGGCATGGCTTGGCTGCTGTTCATGGCCGCTGCAAATAGCAAAGCACTAACCAGAAAGAGAGAGAGACACGCCTTCTTCCTACCATTACATCATATCCTGGCTCCACCCCTAGGTGAGTGTAGCACTCACACCACCCATCTGAATGCTAGACAATGAACCAATCACAAATGCTAGATTTGGTTGCGTTCATAATTCATGAAGCTGGGGGACCAGTGTCATAAACCATGACACAGTCTGCTAAGGTGTGTGGGCAGAAGCACAGGGCCTTTTCTGTGTATAATTTATTTATTTTATGAAAGCACATGACTGTCCTTGTTTGTAGTTTCTTTTCTCTTTTGACAGTAGAACTGAAGAATCTTCTTTGTCACTAGACATTCACCTGTATCACTGTTTAGGTACCATTCTTGGGTTAACATGGTGATGATTTGGCACCATGTTTGAATTATCATGGTGAGGATTGGGTACCATGACTAAGTTACTGTGATGAGGATTGGGTACCGTGGCTAAGTATCATGGCAAGGATGGGAGTACTGTGGCAGGGTTGTCATGGTGAGAATTGGGTACTGTGGCTGGGTTTCCATGGTGAGGATTGGATACTGCTGGGTTTACCATGGTGAACATGGGCTCTTGTCCTTCATTCCTACCAGGACCAGGACAGGGCAACAAATAGCTCAGAACTTTCTTGGGCATCATTGCATTAAGTTCTGATTTGCAGATGAGATATTGAAGCTCGACTTACGCAGTTTGTAACAATGAGGTCTTTTGATTTTAGACATCTCTGTAGCTTGCCATGGGTTCACAGATTACCCAGGACACTGGTGTCCCCCAAAGCCTCCCCAGAGAGGTGCCTACATACAGACACTGGGGTTATTTCCTTAGACAGGTGACTTTTTAGATAGAATAAGTCTGATGCCACCTACAATAATTGGAAAACTTTGTGAGCCTACAAAATTATTTGGGGAATTGATAATGGAGTTTAAGTTTTTTGTTTGCTTGGGGTTTTGTTTTTCTGGTTTTTTTTTTTTTTTTTTTTTTTTTTTTTGGTACCAGGGATCCATCTCTCTACCTTGCACTTGCCAAGTAGGTGCTTGTGCTGCTGAGCTAAATTCCTGGTCCCTCCTTTTTTAAATTTTGAGACAGGGTCTCCCTATGCAGTTCTGGCTGGTCTTGAGCTCACTTTGTAACCCAGGCTGGCCTTGAAGTCACAGTGATCCTCCTGCCTCAGCCTCCTGAGTTCTGGGATTATAGGCATTCACCACCATGCCTGGATAATAGAGGTTAAGTTTACAGCTATATGGTTTTGGCCTCAGAATTCAGAGGGATAAATATCACTCTTCCAATATATGACTTTGCACATATATATTATAGGGCAAATATTAAGTATAAGAAAACATAAAAAGTCAGGTAGACGCCTGTAATCCCAACACTTGGGAGGCTGAGGCAGGAAGATTACTATGAGTTTGAGGCCAGCCTGGGCCACATAGTGAGACCCTATCTCTGAAAAGAAAAGAATACAAAAGAGCCCAACCAAACAGAAAAGGAAAATTTAAAGAGAGTGAGAGTGGCCCGTTTCTACCACCGGAAACAGCCACTTTTATGTTGTTATTCCTGTTTTCACCCTCTTCACCCCTCTCCCTCACACTGTGCATATATTTATAATCCGCATCTCCTGTATCGCATTATATCAGGGATTTTTAAAATATCATTTAAGGATAAAACTTTGTTAATTTGTTTTTTTTAACTTTGTTAATTTGAAAGGGAAAATTAACTAGTTTTAGTTTGTATTTCCTTCTCTTTTCTTTGCAAGATTAATATTCCATTTAATGTTTACTGTCTTTTCATATTTAATCATCAAGGGTTTTGAATGGTGTATTTGTGTATTTTTCTGTAAAGCTGGAAAGGTCACTAAAGCAGGCCTCTGGTTTCAGATGTCCTGAATGATGCTATATTCGATGAAGACCATGACGAGATGGTGATTGTGAAGGACATTGATATGTATTCCATGTGCGAACACCACCTTGTCCCATTTGTTGGAAAGGTAAGTTTTTCCTTGTCATTTCCTACCAATTTAAAAGTAGGATAATTGTATTTAAAATCACCAGTTGCCAATTCCTAATATCCTAGATTGTTACAATTATGCATAAATATTTAATTTTCATCCACCTGGCTGATCTAAAACTTAATTCTACAAAAACAAAAGCAAAATAGCAACTTGTGCCTAGGGCAAGCTGTCCATACTAAATACCATGTTGATAGGTTAAGGTAATGAGGTGAAGGTAGCAATTTTTTTTTAGGTGGCTATTTCAGGTTCTAAAGTCCTTTGCTGTTTATTTTGGCTGAATAATGTTTGACCTAAGATGTATTTGTATTTGGCTTGACATGAGCAGTAATGACTGCAGAATTGCTTGGGGCAGAGGTTATGGTATTAGTGGATTTGATATGCATCTAAGCCATTCTAGACTAGAAAAAATGAATCCAATGCAATTAGGGTTTTTAGTTTTTTATAGTTCAGCATACTGTCTTAACGACTTTCTTGTTGCTTATACAAAGTACCAACACCCACAAGTTAAAGGAGGAGAGGTTTATTTTAGCTCACAGATTGTAAAAGTTTCAGCCCATAGTTGGCTGGTTCCAAGGAAGGGGTCATGGCAGAAGGGCATACTAGAGTAGAAACAGTCCATGGCAGACAGGCAGGAGACAGCAAGTGATCCTTTCTTTCCCTTTTTATTCCATCTAGGCTGCAGGCCTATTGGTTCCTGCCACTCACACCCCGTGTGGATCTTCTGTCTTTATTAAATCTGTCGGGCCACATCCAGAACCATGCTAATCCAGTTAGTGGACTAATCTAGTTATCATACCCTTTATCCACATTATAAACCCTAGATCCAGCCACCTTCATAAAGCCTCATCTGTGTGTGAGAGCATGAGGCATTGAGGGGCTATCTAGACACAAGCCATAACACATACATTTGAGAACATGGAGTTTAGGACAAAGAGTTGTCTTGTTCCCCAACTCCCACAATACTTTTGTTTTATTTTGAATTTTTATTACTATCAAATAGAAGTCTCTTAGGAAATAGTATCGTGGAAGCCTATATACCCATCACTTAAATTTACTTAAGTATTAACATTACATCATTTTTTGTTGAAGTTCTTTGATGTTTTTTGTTTTGCTTTCTGCAGTACTAGGCATTAAATCAGGATCTTCTACATGCTAGGAGAGCAATCCCCCATGAGGCTACATTCCAAGCTCTTTCATAAATTTATTTTTCACCTGGGATGAGGCTCTCTCTAAGTTGCCTGGCTTGTCCTTAAACTTGATCTTCCTGCCTGAGCCTCTGGAGTCTGTGCCACCATACCCAGTTTATTTTATTTTACACTTTTTCATGGAAGTAAAACATGAAAAATGCAGAAATAGCAGGGGTACTTCTTACCACCACTGACCAAGAGCCAGAACACGCCACCCCACCCTGTGGCCCGCAGGTAACCAGCACATCAATTTCCAACACTAGACAGTAGTTTTGTTTTTCAACCACGCAGAAATGGAAAGAACATGCAGTTGGGCCTCTTTTGTATCTGACGTCTTTTGTCTGTGTTGTAAGGTTCATTGCCGTTACTGTCTTCATTATTATGTGCTACTGCACTGTGTAAATAGTATACCACTGCCGGTCTGTCCTGGTCCCAGTGGACATTTGGACCGCCATGTTTCTTCTTTGGGTGGGTGGGAGCTACCAACAACAGTGCTGCCCTGAGCTTTCTCTGGGTGCCCTGGGCATACACCTCTGCTAGGACAGCAGGCCCATGGTGTCCACCCTTCTCAGTGCTGACCCTCGGCTCTCTGAGGCCCCTGTGCTGGTGTACACTCCCAGCAGCTCACGGGAGCCCTAACTGTCTCGAGTTCTTGCTGACACCTGCACTTCCCGTCTCAGGATTAGTATTCGGTTGTGTGTGGAGTGGCATCTTTTTTTAAAGAAAAACTTTAGCGCTGGAAATCTCAGTCACCCGCTGCAGTAGAAAGGCTGGTAGAGTAAGTTCCTGTTCCCTTCCACCAGCTTCTCCAATTACCAGCACAGGGCTGGTTAGACGACACACAGGTCCCCACTCGCCATGTGAAACTGAATCCTGCCATTATACTCTGTTCCCCTAGTCTGTTTCTCTAAATGATGAATTTTAAAAAAAACCAACCCAATTTGAGATGCCCTCTCATAAGTCAGCAGTGAACACGTCAACCTGTTAAAGGATATGAGGTATGTTACAGCCAGCCTGCCTTGGAATCACTGTCACCCCTGAAATTGTTGTGTGTACTGCCAGTTAATGTCCATCTCTAAACTATTTGCTTTCTTACAGCAATACTACAAAGAAAATTAGCAGTGAGCCCTTAGTAGCGCTGACAACGAACCTGTATTAAATGTTTGGTCTCCCAGGTTCTAGCTGTGGTTTGCTGAAACAAGAACCCGGCTTAGAGTCATTTGTGTTTCCGCCCCATCTGGCTATGTCTCTTAAGTCTCTTGGCTTTAAAAGAACCAGTTCTCCCACTGAAGGGCCCTGGCCGGGCTTCTGTCGGGGTCCTGCTGCCACTTAGGGCTCAGCTCCACTGGACCTCCTGCTTTGCCGTGAGGAGATGAGAGTAAAGCTGGGGATTCCAGATCAGATTAACGCTGCTGGACTGGCGGAGGAGTCTGCGGCTGGTTTCTGTTGTGGTTGAGAAAGTCGGGCTTCTGTCCCAGCGGTTGCGGGAGCTGCAGGGGCCTGGCTGGACCACGCCTGCTTGTCCCCGGCTCAGCCATGCCTGTGGCATCTGGAGTGGCAGTGCCCTCTGAGTTTGTGTCTTTGCAAACTCTGGGTTTTAGGGGTATTATTCAGTGATGATTTTTCTAAAACAGAAATTTACATGAATCGGGATCTTGAGAAAGACAAAAAGAGCACCGACTGTAAATGCACTGTCGCTCGGCACACAGGCATGAAAGTTTCCATGTGGGTGCCTGTCCTTTGGGAGGGCTCCACTCCGAGGGTTTTCTCTGCAACACCTGAGTTTGGGCGTTGCTTCCCTGGCTCTTCCTGCCTGCCAGGAAGGTGATGAGGTGGAATTAAAGTCTCAGAGCTTGGCCCTAGGACGTGAAAGATTACCGAAGACTCTCACTCAGGTCAGGTATGGCAGTGCACAAGGAACGTCGGGCATTTAGGTCAGCAGTCACCATGTGAACTGTACTCAGGGCCTCTTATAAGCTAGGCAAGCACACTACTACTTACCTTCTCTCTCTATCATCTATCTATCTATCTTTGTCACTTGAGACAGGATCTCCCTAAGTGGTCTAGGCTGGCCTCAACCTTGAGCTCCTCCTGCCTCAGCCTCCCCAGTATAGCTATGATGACAGACTCTGCAGTTCTATATCTGGCTAACTGATTGCCTGCAGTGGTCACTTTACCAGCCTTTGAACAGAGCTAACATTTTCTCACACTGACCCCTGGCCTAGAAAGTGGCTGGCATTTCCTGATAGATTCACCCTCTGCACTGACGGGTGCGGCCTCTCCTGTCCTCAGCTGCTTTCCTGATCAGGGCAGTGGAGCCGGCTGTGAGCCAGGCGTCAGGGCCTCAGAGGATGTGGGTTACCCACGCAGCAGGGCTCACGGGGCCCTGAGGCACCATGGTGGGCTGGTGGCATCACATGTTTACAGTTCCTGCCAGGCTGGGAGTCGCTGCTGCTTGCGTTCGATGTCACTGCAGGATTGTGTGACCTCTTTTTTTTTTTTTTTTTTTTTTTTTTGTCTTTTTCCTTTTTATCGGTACTGGGGATCGAACTCACGACTGCCTGCTTGCAAGGCAGGTGCTTATGCTGCTGAACTAAATCTCCAGCCCTGATCATGCAACCTTTTTTGAGAATGCTTCTCCTCCATGGAGGAAGAAATGCAGAACCTAGTGTCCTTACAGAAAGTTGCCGCCATACTTTACATTTGTCATTTGGGATTTTTTGGAGGCTGGCCTTGAACGCATGGCGATTCTCCTGCCTCAGTCTCCTGAGCATGGTATTACAGGTGTGGGCCACTGCACCTAGCATCAATGTGTCATTTGATAACAGACTCAGTGCTGTAGGTATAGTGGTCTTGTGCTGTCTTTATGTAATTTTAAAAATACATCATCAGCCCACCTTCTGAGTCATGTTTTGAAGATATGCCATGAGTTTAGGGTGGGTTTATGTATAAGTATGCAGTGCCCTTCCTGCGTTCCTGTACTCTGAGGTCACAGAGCCACGCTCTGCCTGCCCCTGGCTCACGAGTTCTCTCTCCTCTCCTAAGGTCCACATTGGCTATCTCCCCAACAAGCAAGTCCTCGGCCTCAGCAAGCTTGCGCGGTGAGTACGATGCGGAGAACAGGACAGCGGTTGCGGGACCTGCCCCTTCCGTGGCCACAGCCTTCTCTGTCCCCAGGCTGCCTTTAGCTTGGACCTCAGATCCTGCCTGAAAATTTATAGTTGCGGTTAGCCATGGGGGTGCGCACTTGTAATCCCAGCTCATGGGAGGCTGAGGCAGGAGGATCACTGAGTCAGGGCCAGGCTGGGCTGCACTGTGGGACCTTGTCTTTAATACTCCCCTTCAACCCCCCCAAATTATACACCTGCCAAGGCCAGCAGAATTGCAGTGCTGAAGTGTGAATGCTCTTCTCATCTCCCATCCTCCCAGGTACCTATTCGAAGTTTCTGCTCACAGCTTCCTCTGCTGAGCCTTCCTGGACTGGAGGAAATGTGGGGTGATCTTCTATCCAGCCTAGGTTTCAGGGGGCTTAGTTAATAGTCACGGCGTGAGAGGAGACACAGGCAGCCATGTCCCTGTTCTTCAAACTGGCCTTGAACTCATTGTGTAGCCCAGGCTGACCTTGAACTCATGGAGATCCTCCTGCCTCAGCCCCCCAAGTGCAAGGATTACAGGTGTGCACCACCATACCCAGCTCTGTTTTTAGACTTTGACTTAAACTCCACGGGGGACGTGGCTCCATAGCACCTGGCTTTGCATCCCCGGGAACCCTGGAGCCTGTCCTCAGTTCTAGGCCCTTCACCCCTATAGACCACACCTCCCACCCCATTCCCGGGCAGGGCACCTGCCCTGATCCTCTCTTCTCTACCGCAGCTTCTCTGTGCTTCTTTATCCTGCCAGCCTTTAGGTTTGCTTTGCTGTCGCTTTTGTCTGGGCTGCAGGAAGCAGTGTTGGCACACGGGCGTGGCCGCCTGTGCTTCCCTGGAAGCTGACTGAGGGTCTGTGTTCAGGTATCTTGGAGAGGCCCCAGCCACCAAGATTTTGTCGCCCCTAATTATCCTTTCCTGTGTTGTCTGTGTGGATAGCGAGTCCTGGGTGACAGCGGAAATGCTGGGAGAGGGGCATGTGTATAGAGAGAAAGTTTAAGAGCAGATCGAAGTGGGTGTCACAAACAGACAACCGCAGCATTTTAAAACTGAATTTGATGGGATGTTCATGCCTGTAATCCCCATGTGTGGGAGGCTGAGGCAGGAGGATCCCCATGAGTTCAAGGTCAGCCTGGACAACATAGCGAAGCCCTGTGTAAACTCGCCGTGGGCCAGTTTGTTTGACTCCAGCCTGAGCTACACAGTGAGTTCCTGTCCCAAAAAAAAAAAAAAAAAAAAAAAAAAAAGTCAAACTAGGTTTGAACAACTCAATGCAGGTTACAGTGACCCTGTCCCAGCTGGTCCAAGTGAATTTCTGGCCCAGCTTTTACCCTAGGGTCCTCTTGAGGGCCTGTGCCTGCCCCTGACAGACACTGGGGTTCCCCGTGGTCCTTCCCTGGGGGCCCCATCCTTCCTGGTCCTGTGTTAGGATCCACAGGAACCACACCATCTATCTGGCCACTCCCTGCTTGGCCTTCATCTCTTTTAGAAATTGCGGGCGAGCATGTGGAGGAAATGCAGATTCTTGCTGTCATTTTAATAGTAGCTCTCTCTCGGGGAACTTGCTCCCAAATACTAAGTAAAATCAATTTCCGGAGCTGAGAGTTGGTTACGGATCCTGGGTTGTGATGTGCAATCTGCGCACTGCAGGCTGGCTGGGCACAGGGCCTCCGCCGGGGCCTTCCTGACTGTAGGACGCCGGCTGGAGGCTGCAGAACCTGCGTCCAAAGGCATGGTTCCTCCCCTTGGGAGCCTCGGCCTCCAGGATGTAGGTAGGAAGGCGGGGGTGCCCCTGTCCTTTCCATGAAAGGGACAGGTCTCACTCAGATCCTCAGCTTCCACACGAAGGAGCGGGTGGTTCACGTGGGGATTTCTGTGCGTGAATCAGATTACAGCCCCGGAGGAAAGCAAATTAGTGCACTGACCGACATTAGGCATTTTGTGGGAAATCTGAATCCAGGGTCTGTTAAACAGGGAAGAGGACGGGACTTCACACAGCTGCCCGTGGGCCTGGGCAGGGCGAAGGGGACCAGGCCGGCTGTGCCTCGCGCCTGAGCCCTGCTCCCCGGCCACCTGGCGACGTAGTGACCTTCCAGGGCCCAAGGCTGGGAGAAGGCGAGAGCAAACCTGCAGAAGAAACCCTCAGGTGGCTAAAGGCCACGGAGTTCGCTTTGTGGCCTTGGCACGCTTGCCGGAATGGGGCAAAATTGTGGGTTTGTAGACTGGGAAGGCCTTCCCGGGGTGCGGCTGGCACTTGGTAGAATAGGTTCAGGGAGGTGCGAGTGGCTGGGCTGGCTTCAGGCTTCATGGATGGAGGTGAGGACTCAGGTGAGGAGGACTGGGACATGGTAGAAGGGGTCACAGGGCGTTAGACTTCAGGGGAGCCACCTCCCATTTAAGTTCTGCTGTTACAGGAATATTACACTGCCAGGAACGTGGCATGTGGCTGTAGTCCCGGCTACTTGGAAGACTGAGGCAGGAGCGTGACTTGAACCTAAGAGTTGAAGGCAAGGCTGGACCACAGAAGGGGGCCCTATCACAAAAACAAAAACAGAAACAATAAACCCCACCAAAAATATACTATTACCACCAGTTAAGCTTAAATGTAAGAGGATAAATAAGGCAAAAGCTTTTTCTTCCTACTTAAATTCTTCAGAATTAATAGTGCAGATACTTCATTTATTAACCTTTTGGAAATTTTCTATGTAAAAACAAATATGTATGTATAATTTTTTAAAGCTAACGTAACACCCCCAACAAAGATTGTACCCATATATAACACTCCCCCAAGATTATACCCTATATGCTATAATACAACTTGCTTTGTTAAAAAAAATTATAAAAATAATTTGCAGTTCCTTGAGGTTCAAGAACATCCAAGAGCCGGGCATGGTGGTGCACATCTGTAATCCCAAGACTCTGGAGGCTTGAGGCAGGAGGATTGCTGAGTTTGAGGCTGGCCTGAGCTACGTAGTGAGTGCAGGACCAGCCTGCACTACATAGTGAAACCCTATCTGCACAAACCAAAACCAAAACCACAGCAATTATAAAAAACCAAGGACTGATTAAGTGTTATATAATATGCCTTTAATTGATTTTACTTAGCCAGGCTTTGATATAGACCGGTAAAGTTTACAGTTTGAGACTTTCGTCAAAAGGAAAAGATTTGCTTTGGTAAATGTTTTTATGTACTATCTTTGTACACTTTAAATCTACCTGTAAGATAAATTATGGGAATAGAATTTTCAATGCTAAGGGTGGCTGAACTTTGGATCTTACCAAATTGCAGTCTAGGCAGGTCACACTGACTTCTGCTATGAGAATACAAAAATGCTGTCTTTCCCCACACTTTCACTGACACTGGGTTTTGTAACACTGGTTTTTTTTTTTTGTCTTTTTCCTTTTTATCGTCACCGGGGATCGAACTCATGACTGCCTGTTTGTAAGGCAGGCGCTTATGCCGCTGAGCTAAATCTCCAGCCCAACACTTTTTTTTTTTGAAACAAGATCTCCTATGTAATTCAGGCTGGCCTTGAGCTCAGTTTGTAATCCAGGCTGGTTTTGAACTTGCAAGAATCCTCCTGCCTCAGCCTCCTGAGGGCTGGGATTTCAGGCAGGCGCTACCACATCCCACATGATTTCTGTTCTTTTGAGGTTTTCCAAATTATTTGAAACAGTTTGGATTTAACCATAAAAGCCATGGAAAAGCAGAGCATGGTGGCATATACCTGTAATCCCAGCAGTCGGGAGGCTGAGGCAGGAGGATTGCTCTGAGTTTGAGGTCAGCCTGCACTACATAGGGAGACTGTGTCAAAAACAAAACAAAAAGGATAGAAATCACGAGTCCTAGAGTTGAAAATCTTGTAGGAGAGATCTCTGGAAAGATAGATTGAGAGGATGTGTGGTAATATCTAGGAATGGGAGGAGATGGAACTAAAAATAGGCCTTAAACACTTAATTTTATGGAGGTGGGGAGGAAAGGGAACACATTGTGCACTAGGAAACCTAGGTGTGCAAGAAACAATCAGAAGAGTGGCACAGGGAAGACAGGAAAGGGAAGGACCTAGGCTGGTCTGTGTTAAATTGCTCTCGTGTACTGGCGCATGTTGTTAGCACAGGGTGGTGACATCACCACGGGAGGTGCTGTGGGGGGGGGGAACGCGTCCTCCTCCCCTGCCTGCGTCTCTAGATCCCCCTCCCACTGGCAGGGGCTCTGTCCTCTGTTTTGTATTATTCTCTTATTTTTCTCTTTAACGTATGTATGCTTTGCGATTCTCACATGAGAGAAACCGTGCAGTACTCCTAAGCTTGTGCTCTGTCAGATGCAGACTGTCAGACAACTTATATTGAAAAGTAAGAGTTCGTGAAGTTTGGAGTAAGAAACATTCCGAGTTAGCCAGACTGGGAAGAGAACCAAATACACCCTGCTGAAGAAAGAAAAAAGGTGCCAAAGGACATCAAAGCTTAATGGGCTCATTAAACAGCAGGCGGGGCCCAGGTTAAAGTGGGGTGAATGGAAAGAAAGGGTTGGGGAACCCAGATGGGGCAGGGGAGAGAGCTGGGTTCCAGGGTCTGCTGCAGCCTGAGCTGGGCTGCGAAGCCCTGGGGGAGATGCAGTGTCAGAGAGGTGGAGCCTGGAAGAATCCATCACACCTGCAAAATGCCCAGTTGTTCTGGAAGCCTAGCAAATTCCCTGACAAAGACAAAAGTCAACCAGTCCCTGCAGCCACAGTTCAGTGGGAAAGCAGGTGCCCAGGAAAGCTGCAGGTACCCCGGCCATGGCTTTGGCATGAAAGACCAGAATTCTGTCCCCAGCAAACACCTCTTGACCAGTTATTGCTTAAGAATGAGGGCAAAATACACATCTTTATTTTTAATTCGGAAAAGCTGTATAATCCTGCGCTTAGTCCATAGCTGAGAAGAACAACCAGGAGTGAGAAGCCAGAAGCTCTGTGGGGATGGGGAACATGCTCACCACGCGATCAAGAGGCCCACAAGGAAATTGCTCGGGTCCGGGCAAGCAGCTGGCTCTGCCGGAAGCAGGCAGCCTCTGTTGTGCTGATAAAATATCAGAAGCTTTCCTGTTGTACACTGTGGAGCAAAGCACAGATGCCCATGTTGTCTACTACTGTTGTCTAATATTGCACCTGAAATTCTAGTCAAGAAAAAAACAATAAGCTGGGCAGGGTGGCGCACATCCCGGCGCTCAGCAGGCTGAGGCAGGAGGATTGCTGTGAGTTCAAGACCAGCCTGAGTGCCACAGTGAGTTCAAGTCCAGCATGAACTACCCTGTGTCAAAAGAAAGAAAGGCAGATAATATGAGAAGGAAATACTTAACTTTTTAAATCAATAGCTCCGCCTGTTTATATAACAAATTAATTACCAGGAAGCTGTCAAGAGTCATGAATACAGAAATTTGACTTAGCGAGAAATATAACCTCTGCCTCTGAGCCAGAGAAGTGGCAGTCCTAGGTTCCTGTTAATTCCTTGAATGGTGTGTGACTCTAGAGCCCCGCCTTCAGGGAGTGCCCCTGAGCACTAGGTCTCGGGTTTTTTGGGGTGTCACTGGGTGGGGCGGGCATGAAAAGCCTCACTGGGGAGCTGACCCTTAAACTGAGGCAGCATCACTGCTCAGAGGTCCAGTTTGAGACTAAAGACCCTTGCCACCCTGCGATTGGAAACACTGTTGCGTGCTTTGCATTTCTGGTGGAGAAGGATACAGGGAGAGTTCCCCACCTGGCAGACTCCGGGCAAAACCAGGAGGCCTGCATCTGGGGAAGATGACTCATACAGACTGCTTCTGTAAACCCATTTTATAAAGCAATGTCTGAAGAAAGCTAATCTGTTCTAATCCAATTACCCCGATAGGGTTAGTTGGGGTAGTCATTGACCTGCTATTTAATTAACAAACAGTCCTTTTATTTTTTAACTTGAACTTTGAGCTCTAAAAACACAATATGATTAATTAGAGTGCTTGAGACTTAGCTTACACGTGATGACTTGAGAATTTTAAGATGTTGCCACCCAGCCCTAATGGTGTTTGTGCTAAGTGAGCATTGCACTCGGAGGTGTGTCCGTTTTCTCTCTCTCTTCAGGGGTTTTGCACAGTGATTGAGCCGTCTTAGACCCTGTCTCCCTGGGGGACTTGTGTCTTCTCTCCGTACATCACCCCCAGCCTGCGCCCACTGTTATTTTGTGCCTTACGAAGAAGTCTCAGCCATTTGTACTTCAGCATACAAGTAACTACAGTAATTTCTTTTTCAGGATTGTAGAAATCTATAGCAGAAGACTACAAGGTAACAACTTTTACGGCCTTTATTTCCATTCCTTAAAATATTTTTTCTTACAGAAAAAGTCTTTTTGTAATATTATATGCATAATAACCACGATATAAAAACTAAAATCCGATAGGATGATGAGTCTATTTCAAACTTACAAAGAAAAAAATCACTGTTGTAGTTACACATTCCTTCCCATTTCCATGCATCTGCCCACCTTTTCAAAGGGGTGTGGATTCCACTCCTCCCTGTCTAGATTCAACCAATCGCTGCTCTGATAGGTGTGGGCAGGGTTTATCAGGGTTTTTTTTTTTTTTTTTGATACAGGGGATTGAACTGGACCTCACCTCAGGCTTGCCAGGCAGGTGCTTTACTCCACTGAGCTAAATCTCCAGCTGGTGAACAGTCTGCTACAGACCCAAAGACAAGTTTTTTGTTAGCACAAGGAGCTGTATTATTTGTTAAATCATTGGCTTGCAACAAATCAATAAGTAGCCCCTTTGTTAATCCTGTTGCAAGCTGTTGATTAATTCACCCCTTCTCCTTCTGTGGATCCCATGGTGTGAATCCCTCTGGGATGTGGATGGGTTTTCCTGCTTCCCTGAACATCTGGGGTGCAGTTAAAGCAGGGATGGAATGGGGTTGCTTGTGGCTTGGCCAGCAGACAGGGCAAACTGGCAAAAGCTAGCGTGTGGCACCTCTTCAGTGTCACACACACACACACACTCGTGCTGCCAGCCGTTGTGGTCTGTTAACCCACGCCCCTGTCCCCCCGCAGTTCAGGAGCGCCTCACCAAGCAGATCGCCGTGGCCATCACCGAAGCCTTGCAGCCAGCGGGAGTCGGGGTGGTGGTGGAAGCCACGTAAGTGGGAATCGGCCTCAGATGGGGTCACTGTGGGGTGCAGGTGATGCCACGCACCAGCCACTGCTCACCCGTTCTCCGGGCCACTGCTTTTGCTCACGGTGTCCTGATGTGGGGGAACCAGCCTTGGAGAGAGGCTTTTCTCCTGAGGGAAGTGCATGCAGGTGGAGGGAATCTGAGGTGGTGATTGGGAAATCCTGGTTGCAGGGTTTGAGCGACCGGGGCAGCCAGTGACATTTCATGTCCTGTGTTTTGGTTTTTTTGGTCTTTTTTTTGGTTGGTCCAAGTGATTTTGTTAATCTTTGCTCCACATTTGAAAAATAGAGAAAAAAAAAAAAACCTAGGAATTGGTACAAAGAGAAGCAGAGCTGAAGGCACTTCTTTTTTAAAGAGAAAAAGAAGTGTTTTATTACTGTTTAATTTATTTTTGAACTCACCAGCTGTGGTGGCGCACACCTGTAACCCCAGCACCTGGGAGGCTGAGGCAGAAGGATCACCGTGAGTTCAAAGCCAGTCGGGCTACATAGTGAGCTCACCGCCGGCTTGAACTACGTAGTGAGACCCAGAGTCAAAAAGACAGAGTATTAGGTAATATGCCTGAAAGAGGAGTATTTTGACACATTTGACAACTGAACCAAGCGGGTTCATCGTTTGCCCTGTTCTATTTTAAAACCAGCCCTGACTGTCTTTTCCTTCCACGGCCTCTGTTGTCTCCCGTAGACACATGTGCATGGTCATGCGAGGAGTGCAGAAAATGAACAGCAAAACCGTGACCAGCACGATGCTGGGCGTGTTCCGGGAGGACCCCAAGACCCGGGAGGAGTTCCTGACCCTCATCAAAAGCTGAGTTTGGGCGGCGCTTTTGGTGCGGTGTGCGAATCCTGCCACGAGCGGCGCTGTGTCTTCGTTGTCCTGTGCATTCCATTTCCGGATGTTACAGATGTGAAATGTCAACTCTTGTATTTAAACGTTATTTATAGAAGGTCAAATAAAAATAATTCCCGACGGGGTGAGCCCTCTGCTTTCTCCTTGCCACTTTCTAGTGGCAGCATCGAAGTGAACTGCTGATAGTGTAGGTCGTGTGTACAGATCACTGCCAGTCTGAGGCCCGAGGGTGCAGGGGGCAGGAGGGTCCACGCGCTGTGCAGGACCCTGTCCTGACCCCATCTGTCAGCACAGGAGCAGCAGAAGCCTGGCCAGAGCACTGCTTTCTCTGCCTCCGACAGAAAAGCTAGGGGTCCAGAAGTGCTGAAATAACCAGTGTGGGGGGCTGCAGAGCCACTGGCCCCCAACCCCCAGGCTGACAGACCACACCTCCGTCGTGTTTGGTGACCCTTCCACGGCTCTGTGTTTCGTGGACTTACAAACTGTCCCTTTTGAACGGCGGCCGTCCAGGAAAGACAGTGGAGTATCTCTTGGTTTATTTCGCTGTGATTCAAAAAGCACACTTCTACCTTGGCTTCTTTTTTAATTCAAGTGCAGGGAATTCGTTCCTGGAGTCGTTTACGAATTTGTTCTCATGTCACATACAAGGACTTAGATGCTGAACTCTCTGTGCCTTGGTGAGGAGATGACAGCCCTTAGAGCGGGGACCCTTTTGCCTTTTTCCCCAGAGCCATTACTGTAGGAGGCGCAGCCCAGGAGGGGCAGGCGGCAGCACCTTCCCGTGAGAACCGTACCTTTCACGTAGATGCCTGGACACAGTCTTTTTGGATCTGATTGAGTATTTTGTCTGAGCTTTTTGCAGGCCTCTGCACCGTGAGCCCAGGCTGCATGCAGATGATGGCAAGTGCTCTCCGGGCTCTGCTCCTGTCCTCTCTGGGCCCCTACGGCTCGTGCTCTGTGTCCCTCTGTTCAGGGGAACCAGTATCTTAGTCCAGGAAGCTGATGCCTTATTTATTATTACGTTTCTAAAAATTGCCTCACTGGGGCCATGCGGGCCACAGTAAAACCCCCTGACTCCCCTACCCAACATAAGCATTGTTACACCCTGAGAAAGCCTGTTTTTTGTTGTTGGTATTGGGGAATCGAACTCACGACCTCGCACTTGCCAGGCAGGTGCTCGTGCCGCTGAGCTAAGTCCTCAGCCCCTCTGAGAAGGCCTCTGATCCCTCCTATTCCACCAACAGAGAGCTCGTCAAAGCTTCCCAGCTGCCAGCAGAACTCACTATCACACTGGCCATTCTGCATCTGCCACTGGTACGATGGCAGAGATGGGTTTTTTCTTTCTTTCTGATTTTAAAACTTCTATTACAAGATCTCTTCCCTAGCCTTTCTGTAGAGGTGGAGTTTCTGAAGTACATTGGTGGCTGTGTTTGAGTTCATTTTTAAGTCTAACCTGGTCTAGACAGCTGGCTCAAAATTGAGATACTTCTAGGTACACTTCCAAGCTCTCAGCTCATGTTTGGTATTTTAAAGTAAAAAACAAGCGTGACTTGGAAGACCAAAGATGTCTTGAGTTATAAATTCACCTTTTCAAAATCATTTGTATCCCTTTCAAATGACCCTTGTCCTGACAATTCTTGATGTGTTCTTACAAAAGTCTGGTATGTCTGCAGGTTGTTGTCTCGTTAGTAAATGCAAAACAGACATGGCTTTGTCTGTTTTACTCTAGTCTGTAGTCCTTCAAATTACCTCTTCATGTCCTTGGCACTGAGTCCCTTTGGGGGGATTTTTAGGAATTTGATGGATTTAATTATACCATTAATGATATCGTGTGTTCACATTTTATGTATGTGTACGTAAAGTTGGTTCTACGTAAGTTATTAAAGCATTACAACTTTGTTCTTGTGAAAGTTTCTTTTTCCTCCACGCGTCTGAAGAGCGTCTATCGATTCAGCCAGCTGTGTTGATTCTGTTTTAGCAGAGCTGCCCGTGCTAAGAACCTCACTCGCCCCTCATCTGTTAGAATGCACATCGCCAAGGTGGCCGGAAGCAGCTCTGGGCCCCAGCTTTCTCTCTGATGGGGGCCTGGGGTATTAGCCGACTGCAGCCTCTTTCCGGTAATGGGAAAGGGGTGTCCCTCACATCTCACTGCTGTCCTAGACTGAGGTTGGGGCAGCCTCCTGGGATGTGCCTGCCACCTCCTGTGGGGGTGAAGAGGAGGAAGGGGGTCCCACCCTTCCTGGGAAGAGCCCGCCAGGGCAGAGCCTCCATTTCCCCTGAGAGGGTTTTACTGCCTTCCTTTTACCTGGAGCCCACTGACACCATCCCTCTCACAGCCGGTTTTGTCTCTATCCCCTCTGTCCCCTCTGTTGTCTTCAGGCCCAGGTTCTGGGCTCCTGCAAGACCCTTAGACAGAGTGACCCCTCACCACCCAGGCCAGTGTCCTTTCGCTTAAAACACTGTGAAGCCACATTGCACAGCTGTCTGGGCCGCTGCTCCCATGTTCCCTCCCTACGAGCCTGAGCCTCTTGTTTGATCAACATAGAGCTCTTCAAAGCTACCAAATCCTGGCCAGATGTGCTAGTGCACACCTGTAATCCCAGAACTCAGGAGGCTGAGGCAGGAGGATTGCTGTGAGTTTGAGACCAGCCTGGGCTACAAAGGGAGCTGAAGGCAGCCTGTACTGCATAGAGAGACCCTGTCTCAAAAAGACCAAAAAAAACCCCAAAAAACAAAAAATAACAACAAAAAACTACCCCCTCCTGTATTTTTCATTTTGCTCTTTATTATTTGGGTTTCTCTTGTAAGAGAAACCACCTTGTGTTTAGGCTCCTGTGTCTGATTAATTTCACTTAACTTGATCTCATGGTGCATCCATTCCCTATGAATGACTCAAGTTTATTCTTCAAGGAAGAGTAGTACTCCACTGGGTGTAAACACCACAATTTCTTCACCCACTCTTCTGGTGAGGGACATGGAGGCTGCTTCCAAAACTTAGCTGTCATGAGTTGTATTGCCAACCTGAATCTCCTGAGAATCTTAAGAATTCCTTTCTGCCCTCCATTGTCTCCTTACAATTTACATTCCTACCTTGATACCTGACTGCTTTGAAACTCATCGAATTTCATACTCAGCGAATTTCAGTGAGAGCATTTCATCCTGGTACTTGTCTTTGATGCTTGACGTGCAAGCGAGGACTTGTCACCATTGATTGGCTCTGACATGCGACCCTTGCCAGCCCGAACAGTGCATCCACTTCGCCAGTTCGGCGCCTGTAGCACCTGCCAGAACTAAGGTCCAGCAGTGTGTGGGATTCTGCTTTTGGGGAGCTTGGAGGCAGCTGCTCTGGCTTTAAACTGTTAACTGCTTGGCTGCTTGGGCTTCCACCTGGAGGATTGCTTGGCTGCTGGGATTTTGGTTAAGCGGGGAGGGATGTGACAGATCTGGAAACCACGGCTCCCCCAAGTGTCACCAGTGCTTTGGAGCCTGTTCCTGGGCACGCCTGAGACTGAGGTGGCCGGAGCAGCACCCGTGTTTCTCCAGGCCTGGCCTGAGACCCTGGGGGAGGACACCGCCCCTGACTGCTGGGGTGGGAGGAAGGGACACTGCTCCTCCCTCCCACGGCTCTCCTGCCCTGAACCTGCATCTGCGCCTGCCCTGCACTGTCCCCACCTCTGTGGCTTCTGCACCCGCTGTTTGTTTAGAGCAGTGTCCACAAGCTGACCTTTTGAGAAATCCCTCAGCCCTGGCTCTCCATGTGGGATCTCACTGTGCTGCCTGGAGGATCCTCAGGCGAGGTGTCGGGCTCCCTGGGGCTGCTGATCTTCTGACTGTGGGATGTGGGTTTCTTCCTCCTTTTCCTGGCTTTTTTCACATTTCAAAGTGTGCCGAACAAACAGCTGAATGAGAGCCCTCTTTTTTAAATTTTTTTAGATAGGGCCTTGCTGTGTAGCTCATCCTGGCCTTAAACTTTACTCTGTAGCCCAGGTTGGCCTTGGACTCATGGCAATCTTCCTGTTCAGCCTCCCGAGTCTTTACCCAGGGCTTGTGTGACTACCTCCAGCTTAGCAGTTGTCAAAAATCACTCTTGGTACAGGGAGAGGTGAGTGACTTCTGTGGCACTGCTTAAATATTTCAGCAGAATCCCCACATGCACTCAATACCTAAAATAATTACAAATAACAGTGTGTTGTACTCTGCATGTATAAACCAGACATTTTATGAATCCTCAAAAAAAAATTAAAATCAGCGTGGAAGCTTGAGGCTGAGGAATGGACAATTTGTGTGGTTTGATGAACTAATGGTCCACTTGGAGCACCCAGGTGAACTGAGAGAGTGTGGTGCTGGGTGTGGGGGACCCACCCGAGGCTTGTGGCCTGCAGCATAAAAGGAGAAACCGGAGGGGAAGGTGGTGCCGTGGATTCTCCAGGGGAAGCTTGTCACACTGGTTTCCTTATATGAACTCAGCTGTTCCCGTCATTGGAGAAGCCTGGCTCCTTGCTGTCACTGAGGATGGTTGTGGTACTTTTCAGGGCAGCCCTGGTCCTTTGAGCATCACTTCCTGCTCAGTGCAGACGCCTCAGCTGCGGGCACAGATCCTTCATCTCAGGGCTTTCCAGCTTCCACCACTGGCCTTGGCACAGATCCATGAAACAGACCCACATGAGCATTGTCTTGGGCTCTAGACCTCCAGCTGGCTTCATGCAGGACATTGCCATGGGGTCCAGGCCCTCAGGTGGATTCTTTGGGTCTCTAATGCGTGGACAGGTCTCCTGTGCTTTTTTGCATTTGATTCTTTGGGTGAATATTATTAAATAATCCTATAAGCTATGTGTCCTATATTAAATCCTTTTCCTTGTAAACCCTGATTACAACAATTTTATTTTTCTCAGTTGGGCATGGTGGCACATTCCCCTTAGCACTCAGCAGGCTGAGGCAGGAGGATCATTGCAAGCTCGCCTGGGCTACAAAGTGAGCTCAAGGCCAGCCTGAACTGTATAGTGAGACCCTGTCTCAAAGAAACAAAACAACAACAGAAACAATTTATGTTTCTTACCTTTTGATGTGTTGGAGGATGGATGATTTCAGTGTGTGTGTGTGTCTGTGTGTACCCAACACCCAATATGGAAGGCATGTTACAAGAACAATCATTTCTGTTTTCTAAGTGTGTCGGGTCACGGATACTGAGGACTCATATCGTCCCCACTAGGTGTGGGGCCAGGGTCCTGATCTCCCTGCTGAGCGATGGAGCCAGCCCACGAGGCTGCCCCAGGTTCTCTGTGGGTGCTGCCACTCTGTGCCTCACATTTTTCCAGCTGTGCAGAGTCAGCTGCGTCCCGTGAGCCCAAGGTGCTGCTCTGGTGACCAGACTGGGGTGTGCTATGACCTTGTGGCTCCATTGGGTAACAGTTACTTTTTTTTGTCTTTTTCCTTTTTATCGGTACCAGGGATCGAACTCACGACTGCCTGCTTGCAAGGCAGGCGCTTATGCCGCTGAGCTAAATCCCCAGCCCCGGGTCATACTTACTTGATGCTCAAGATTTTTAAAATTAAGAGACTGCACATGCTTAGCACAGAACTGGAACAGGGCAAAAGACTCCACAGACCAGTTTACTTCTGCTTCTATGCCTGCGTGAGCCCGGTGCCTGCTCTCTTCTGAGACACTGGATGAAATTCTTTCATTTTCATTGTGCAATGAAAACCCTGAGTCAGCGATGTTCCTGAGGGGAGACTCTCATTCCATCCTGGGGAGCGGGTTCTGTGACTGTCAGAATGTTAAGAACCACTAGGCTGCCTGAGGCCGTGTGGCACACCCGGAATCCCAGCACTCAGGAGGCTGAGACAGGAGGATCCCTGTGAATCAGGCCAACCTGGCTACATAGTGAGTTCAAAGGTGGCCTGAACCTCATAGTGAGACTCTGTCTCAAAACAGCAAAAACAGAAAACCACTAGGTTTATGTCAATTTGTTTCAGTGTTTAGATGCTTTCTCTGAAAAAAATTTTTTTCTCAAAAAATTTTTGTTAACACATGCACACACACACGAAGTGTCCACTTTGCAGATCTGTGACCACCTCAGCCAAAGAAAAGTGGATGTGGTGAGCTGATCGCCAGAAGCAAAACCTCCTGGGAAGTTTCTTTTGGTTTGTTTGATTACGTGATGTGTGTACTTTAAGGCTGAAAGTGAGAGGTCTCCCTCTCTGTCCCCACCACCTGGTCTCTTTCCCTGGTGCCAGGGTTTGGAAAATATATATTTTCCAAAAAATACGTATTTTCTTACATTTACTTCCAAAAATATCTAAAGCATATGCAAGCATGTTGTCTCTGTCCATATGATATGTCTCTGTCTCTCTGCCTCTTTCTGTCACACACACACACTCACCTAGAAAGTTTAGACTATATGTGTGCCTGCTCTTTGTGGAGATCTATTCTGTATTTTGAAACAAAAAATTATCCTTGGCAGCCAGGCAGGTGTCATATGCCTAATAATTCCAGCACCTAGGAGGCTGAGGCAGGAGGATCACAAGTTCCAGCATAATCCTAGCAAGACATTGTCTCAAAAGACCAACAAAAAAGCTCCTTTGGGTTGTTACAGTGTGTTCCATAAGCTGAGAACTACAAGTGGATGGTTTAGCTTTTGAGACCAGCAAGTTGGCACTGCCCAGTTCCAGCTGTTTGGACAGGCATGTGGGTGACTGAGCCATCAGTACCAGAGTCCCCTGCTGAGGTGGCCGCAGTCTCTCAGTTAATGAGTCTCAAGGTAAAGCGCCCTTCACAGGGACCGTCTGCAGCCAAGACAGTCCGTGCTACAGTTACCAATGTAGAAATAATTCATTTCTCTGGTCTGACACGGATCCTACCCAGACCTGATGCTTGTTCATCATAGAAAACTTAGAGAACA